AAGTGACACACAGCGAATCCAGAATTAATTATTGTCCTGTAAGTTACCAGTTCAAGAATAGCTTTCCTTGTGTAGACACCCTGTTCTGGGATACAGTGTGTTTTTATTCAAGGATAATGCCTGCATTTCCAGAGCAAAATAATTATTATGAATAGAGCCATTTTTATAGTGGAATAATGTACATGTGTAGTTTGGTCTTTACAGTCTTTAGTGAGGGCTGGTGGGAAGGGGTGGTGATTTTTCGCCTATACAGACAAGCCATTGATTGCCTCTGTATGAGTCATGGATAACATCATAGTACTTACTGGCACCACATTACTTGAAATTATTCCTCTTTTGCAAAGAGGAGTGTCTGTATGATCTCATGCTACAATTCTGATGATGCTGCAGGAAAGGTGGATTTTAACATTTTCACTGTTTTTCCACAGGTGCAGGATTGGCTTTCTTGTTTGTTTTCAGAGAGAAAGGATATTGAAAAAGTTGCAATTTTAAACGCTTGTTCCTCTCACCTCCAACCTCAGAATTACTGGAGGCTTATGGAAGATTTGGGTCCTGTTAAGTAGCTAGCTACAGTAGAGGGAAGATTTAGATGTGAAATTTGGATTTATGCTCCAACAGGAGTTTTTTTCCTTTTTAGTTACAAAATGACAAATTTTAAAGACTCTGCTCTTACTACAGCTTAACATAGATGCATTGGTTTTTAATGCTGACCTGTCACTGCCACCACTACCTTCTAGTAGGATACTTGTTTTCCTTCTTGTTAAAATGTATTAACTCTAAGAAATGTAGCTTGGATGAAGTCTTGAGTTACATGAATGGCAGATTTTTATTGCACAGTGCGACCTACGACTGTGACTTTGTACATGCCTTAGTCCTGTGCTACTTTTTGTGGCATCAGTCCAGGGTCAAGCAAGATTGAAAACAAAAGCAATGGATAGTTTTATGGTTAAATAAAAAATTATCAAGATGACAGGAAGCTTTGTTTGAAGTCTGAGCTGGTGAGAGTAAGGACCATGAAGGGGCATCTCCCTGATGCAAAGCTTTGCACGGTTGGTTATGTCCATGGTGGCTTTCTCTTTCTCCCTCTCTGCTCTTCAGAAACATCAGAAGGGCGTTCCTTTCCATCTGCACTCTCAGAGTTTGCAGGATGAACTGGGCTATGAGGCTGTTGCCCAGCTGTGGAGAGAAGGCTTTTGTCACGAAATGGGGATGATGAGATTTTACAAGTTGACCTGTTGCTCTAGGGGTCTTGGTATTTGGCTAGTCCCAGTAAATGTTCTAAAAGGGACAAAGCACCTGCTGAAAAACTGTTACAAGGTAAAAGTTATTTTAGAAATACAAGCTAAATATCTCAAGTCATGTCCAACAATGTGTTATTTCCGTATGTCTCCCCTCAACACCTCAATGCCCCAGTAGTCTGAGAAACACACTGTGTTCAACCTTTGAGATAGCACTGGGCTCTAAGGATGCTCATTTGGCCTCCATTTATTTTTCTTTAACTCTTGCTCTCTTTTGTTACATAATTAGGACTAACCCACGTTCTGATCTAATCTTCTGCCATCTTTTGATCTTTTGCAGTGCTTATTAAAGGAGCAGGTGATTTATTAGTCGCTTTGTCACACACTAGAAAGCTGGAAATGTGTCCTGTTTCTGATTGTTACTGTAAAGAGATTGATGCTGTGGTGCTGACGTGCCGAATTAAAAAGGCGGGGTGTTGGCCTGCCATCATATGAAGTACTTCTTTTTAGATATTCCTACAGCATCATAAAATGCTGCTAAATTCAGATATCATATTTTCTTGCAGACTGGTTCTAAGGACAAAGCCCAGCCCTGCCTACTGGTGTTTATGGCTTCCCATATAAACTTTCAGACAAAATTTGTGTCTCCTTTTGTTTGAGTTACAGCAGGCTGATATCCTAGTCCTTGTACCAGTTCTGAGAAGAGGCACTGAATGTTGCCACTGTAATGAAATGGAGGAAAGGGAAAAACATACCTCTTAAACTTCATGCAAATCACTGCTTCAGAGGTGAAATATCTGCATAAAGGATGGACCGGGGCGGGGGAAGGTCCTATAATGTAAACACAAATGCATTTAAGCCTTCCCTCGTTTTCGGTTCCTCTTTAGGCTCAGGAGCTATGCCAGTGTTTAAATCTCCTCTGCAATCTGGTGTGTCTTGGGAGAAGGCAAACTTCAGCTCTTCTCCCAGAAATCAGAGGGTACTCTTGCTGCTATATGTCCTTTGCTTATCTGTATAGCTGCACAATTTTTATGATAAATGTAACTTCTCAAAAGTATTGCCTTCAAATGTAGTTCGATTTATCTACAATTAATCCAGGAAGGTGCATGTCTGCGTTTGACTTGTCAGTGAAGAAACAACACCCTTCTTCCCCTTGCCGCCTCGGCTTTCACAGGAGCAAAGCTCACTTTCAGTAACTGAGTTGTGCAATTGCACAATGGCACAGCAAGCCATGCGGTGTCAAGGTGCTCTATAAATAGCAGAGCAGTAATGGAGCTGCTGAAACATCCCTTGGTGACTTTGGTTCTAGAATTGGCATTGATTTCCTTTCTCCCTTCTCCTCCTCTCATGAGCAGGATGAGGTTTGACCCACAGTGTGCTTCCCAAGCACTTTGTTACTCAGTGGTGGGATAAAAGCACTGGGGCTCCCACAGAGCAGCACAGCAAACAGTAGTGGGGCATTGCCTGACCCCTGCTAAACAGTGGTCACCAGCCTTCGCTCTTTGCCTCCATCCCTGTTGTAGGTTGCTGTGGGTTCCTTGCCTTGTGCAGCTTCCTGTGCCTGGTGCCAACAGGCAATGATGTCCATCTCTGCTACACAGCACCTGCTGCTTTCCATGGTGTCTGCCTCACCAGTACCTCCTGCCTCTTGCACTGCTTGTAGCTTGGTTAGCCTCTTGCCTGTTGTCTTCCAGAATTGATGATTACTACTCACACCCTATGGCTTCCCATAGACAATTGGGGTCTCTGGTTTCTGCATGCTGCAGGGAGTGCGCCAACTGCCCATCGTTCACATGTGAATGAAAAGAGATGTGGAAGGGATAAAGTCAATTTTCTCCACTAGAAAATTGGTTTTGCCCTATGTGAACTATGATATGATACCATCGCAAGCTGACCCAGGTCAGTGCTCACCTGGGAAAGGGAGGAGAAAGTTTCTCATCGTCTGGGTTTCTGCATTTCAGCTGGGAGCTCAGGTCCGTGGCTGTGTGCAGCAGGGGGAAGGTGTTGGCTGCACTGGTGTGCTATATGAGAGATGGGCTGAAATGTTTAGGCATGGGCATAAGAAATGAGAGGACACCCAAGCGAGGTGATTCCCTGGCAGCTGCTCTGCAATTGCATTTGCTTATGGAGCTGAGAGGAAAACCCTGATCTGATCCCTGTGTGGAGTAATGAGAGAGGAGACTGTTGATACTGTTTACTGCTGAGAATTTTTTATGCTTTTGTATATTTTTTGCATATTTACTCATTTGCACAAAGAATATTCCAATGGCTGCAGAAAAACCTTGACACAATTAAATATACAGCAAAGTAAAGGCAGAAGTATTGTGATGAAACGAGAAATATTTAAACAAGTGTAGATAATACCAAGCCATCGAAAATAAATGAGCAGAATTTCAACTGAGAACAACAGCAGAGCAAAGTCAAATGGATGTGATTTGCCCTAGAATCTGTCTTTGGTAAGTGTAGGCTTTAAAAATACACAACCTGAAAAAAAAAGCTTAAATATTAGAGCTTTTATCTGTGCTAAATTGTGGCTGCAAGTATCTGAGTCATCTGGCTTCTAACAGGTGTAATTGTTTGTGCGGTTGTCGCGTTGTATATCTGCTCTCCCCAGTCCTGACAAACAGTAAAATTGCTGCTAAGCTTCAGCAAGAGACAAGAGCTTTGACCTTAGGATCTGTCATTGTTCCTTTGTTATCTCTGTGCATTATGGAACTGCTTCATTTCAATTCATTTGGTTTCTGTTTATTTCTTCTGTGGCAGTCCCAGGAGCTTGCATTCACCGGCTTTTTGTCGGGAGTGTATGAATTGTTAGTTTGAAAGAGCCACCTTTTCTTTCTGGTAGAATCACAGCCCAGATTGAATATGTCTCACTATTAATTAGAGACCGGCCCAAACCAAAGATGTCTGTTTGATTCCTCCCTCCCTCTGGAATCTTCTTGCCTGGAAAAATTGCTTGGTGCTGGCTGGAGGATTGACCATTATATTGTAGAGAACCTTTTGTGGTTTCCAAACAGGTTTCATTCTCCTCTGGAATTAAACCAAAAAATCCTTCTAAGCATCTGCGAACCTTCTGCATGTAAAGGATTTCTCACCTTCTCTCAGGTTCACTGTGGCCTGTAAATCCATCCCACTGAGACCTCTCTCAAACCCCGTATTTTTTGTGTGAAAAGTTGATTTCAAGAACACAAAGCTTTTATCAGTTTGCTGCTAACTTCCAAACTGCTGACCTGGCAAAAGTGGATTGGGAGTGATGCAGATTTGCAGCCCCCCATTGCATTATGCGTTAGCGATGTTAGACCAAAGAAAATGTTCTGTTTTACCACCTACTAATCTTCAATATGCCAGTTTCTTTTATTGAGACATGGATGAGAAAAAGTCATAAGTTTGATCTAGCAATAAACCAACAAAAACTAACTAGTAAAAAGTTTTGTAACTTAGATTGGGATCTGGCCAATCAATTTCCTTCTTGTTTTATCCAATACTTGATTAATGGCTTTCAAGTAAATATTAGATTGGGGGAGGTGGAAAAGGAGCTGTACAGCTGGTGCAATGGAATGTTTTCAGTGTATGAGCTTTGAGCCAACAGTGTTATTTCATGGTACCTGTGTCAGATTGTTTTGTAATTGTGGCTAACAGTATTGATCTCTGGTAATACATTGCTTTTGAGAAAAACTGAGGGGCATGCTAAGCAAACATTAGAGTTGTCTTTCTGTTTCCTTTTATTTTTGGCCTGCAGTGGTGGAGAGCCGAGGAGGCATCATGGACAGCATACAGAGATTTTCAAACCTGCCAACGTATCTCCCCACGAGCTATCGCATCTGCAATGCTGATATTTTCTTCTTCCTCAAAGAAGCCAACCAGGATATCATGAGGAACTCCAGTTTGCAGTCTAGGGTGGATTCATTCTTTATATACAAAGCCAAACTGCCACCTGTCCTAAATGCCACATATGGACCCTTTTCTGTTGAACAGGCTGTTCCCTTGGACCTCATGCTGACTTCTGCATCTTTTGGTTTCACAAATAAATTCACTTTTAATTGGAAATTAAAATCTCACATAATCAACAGCTCCATCTATTCCAACAAACCTAAAATACAAACCTTGTTCTATATTGCGGGGAAGGACTGGGATGACTATAATTCTGCAGAGAGATTGCCTTGTGTGAAGATGTTTGCTTTCCTGGAGTCTAGAGAAGTTGTGGCCAGCTGTAGGTTAACAGGTCATCTAGGATTATGTGTTGCAGAGCTGGAATTATCTCCTAGCTGGTTCAGCTCCCCTCCACCCCTGGTTTCAGAGGAAACAGCCTCCCTGGAAGGGATTACTGTGGAGCTCTTCTATAAGATTTATACAGCAGATGGGGAATGTTCTCCAGAGGATGCAAAATGGGAAAACAATATCCATGCAGGTCAAGATAATGAACACAAAGCTTTGTCAGCTATGGAGAGGATTGGTAGCATCATTGTTTACCCAAATCAAGACAAATTAAAACAGTCTTCACTGAGGCTAGATGAAAATGTCGTTATTCGCTTACCACTCAACCCGGTCAGAGAAGGGGATGTTGTGACCTTTCATGTTTCCCTGGCTGATGACTCTCTAGCAGACCAGTTTGTATTAAGGTAAGAGAATTTTTAAAGTGCTGTATGCTAAACACTCTGCAAATAGGGACAAATTGATGTCAGGTGTAATTTCTTTGGTTACATTCAGTGTTTTCCTGAGAGAACATAAGCATTTCCTCTCCAACTGGGGAAAACTATAAATAGTCTTGAATTATCTGTGTGGATGACACTTTTTGGAACATGGGAATTGATTTTGAAGTATGAGCTATAAATGTTTGTATGATTATTTTTTGTTTTAATTCTGTTTGCTTCTAGTCATAATTCTGCCTCTTAAGTTATGCCTCTGCATGTCAGCCAGGGTAACTGCTGCAATCCATTTTGCTAGACGGTTTGCAGGAGGGTTTTCCATTTCTTTGATGAAGTGTCCTCTCTTTTTATCAACTTTCTTATCATCTTGCCGAAGTACATGGGGTACATCTTGCACAGGTCATATGTGGTGAGGAACTATTTCGTTGCATTGTACAGAGTCAGGAGCTGAGAGGTGAGAAAATGAGATGTGCCTCAGCTTGTGTAGGAAGTCTTTGGCAGAGCCAGGATTTGGATCCAAACTTTGCAAGCCACCTTTGGTTTTTCTGTAAGACAGCCTATCCTGCTTCTTCAAGCTTTTTGCTGCTTGTTGGGTGGCTCATTTTTGTTTTAAGTTTTGAGACTTTCTGGTGACCTTTGCTTGTGAATCTGCCTGTAATAGGAGAATTCAGGCATTTCTAACCACCCCGAGGGTTAGTGCTGCATACTTGTTACGTCCTTAGCTGTCAGACTGTGGGTTCAGAGCTGCATAGAGACCAGATTCAGAGAGAAATGTGAGCCAGACTGGGGGAATAAAAGGGCCAAAAGGTAATTGGAAAGTGTCATATGCTGTGAGAAAGCGAGACGCTCGGGAAAGGAGTTGCAGCCCGTGCTAGCAAACCTCAAAACAGATTCATGCCTTACTTCTAACTTTTTGATCTGAGAACAGTGGGAGCAGAACATGACAGAAGTGCACTTTGGGGACAGATGTTGAGAAAACAGCTAACCTTATGCAGCACTTTCAAAGCATTCAAAGTTTTTGAAATAGCACATGCATATTAATAAACTTAGATTGCTGCATGAATCAGGTCAAGTGGTTCATAACTTAGTGCACAGGCAGAGGGAAAGAAATGGTCCACAATATCCCAAGCACTTCCATCTACTCGGGGTGGGGGGGAAATGTGTGAGAAATATCATAGAGTTGCACCAGACTTTAAAAGGTTTGTACCAGGAAGGGCTAAAGGTCTGCAAGGATTTAACATCAGCTCTTAATTCTTTCTTTTTTTTTTTTTTTGTGTGTGTGTGTGTGGGGGTGTTTTGTTTTTGTTTTTTTTTTTTGTTTGCCACACCACAGATAAAATTCCCTAGGTATTACAGACAACCTAAGATGAGGATGTTTTCTTTCTGTTGGAATTTCTAAAATAACATTTACCTTGTAACAAATGGTGTGAGAGTGGAGTTTTGATGTTTCTGCTGGCTGGGAAAGCACCAAAAACTTGTTTCAGAAATAGTTTTGAAATGCTGTCTTTCAAAAGCAAAATAGTTTCTAGAAGTGCTGAGCACAGTAGCTAACCTGGGGTTTCAAGGAAGCAAAAACCAAGGGAGTCGAGAGCCTCCAAACTGGTGAGTCCCAGGATGAGACACAAGAGCCTGCCTACCGCAGAGACCCTCGTCTTCTCCCACCAGCCCCTATGACTTGCATGTCTCCAGTCTTCGGGTGGGACTTGCTTTCTGGCGCTCTCCTGACACAGGGAGTGTGCATCTCAGTGCCTCCGAGCTGCTGGGAAGGCAGTCAGGTTTCCATGGGGATTTCCTTCTTTGAAAAGTGTGTGGAATCGGTTCATCTCCAGGAGATGTTTCTGTTACAATAAATCAGCATGTTTTATGTGCCCAGTAATATTTCCTTGGAAAATTCACTACCAGCTCTATGCAGTCCAGTCTGTCTCATCTTTTATTTGGCTTTGCTTGCATTGTGCTTTTCATTGCAAGTATTTTTATTTAACCTTCAGTTGAATGCTGAGAGTAAGAGGCAAAATGCAATACTGTTGATGGTTTACCCATTCTCCAGGATGGAGAGAGCATCAGCAACCGTTGCTATGATTATTTCATATGACATATGTGGGGCCCATGGAGAGATTATTCAACTGAAGTTTACACAGTAGGTAGGGAATTATGCTGAGGGAAATACAATCACTATAGCACCTGCATCTAATTTATGCAGTTTCCCTCACAGCCTTTCCCTGTTTTTAAGCCCAATGCTAATGTCCGTAAAAACCTGGAAGATTTTTATATACATAGAATTTCTGTGTGTTATAGCCAGAGAAAAATACATTTAAGTGAATATTTGCCTTGGGAAATATATTTTTGCCTAATATAACTGATTGTTTTTAATCATATCTGTTACAAGTGTAGCGCGGTGAATTGCAGTCTGGCTTATATGAGACAATAGATCAAAATCAAGTCATTCCCAACGCAGTGTTTGATGCCGACCTCGAGCTCTGACAGTATGCAAAAGAACAGATATACTCAATTTTATGCGCCTCTACTATTTCATGCTGTGTTGTGTAGTATTTTATTTTATATTGGATTTTGTTCTAGCAAAACTGACTTCAATTCCCCTATGAGAGTAGATTCTTCCTCATTTTGGTAAAATTTGGGATTCTTAACCAAGCTTGGAAACTGAAAAGCAATTGGAAACAGTTTCTTGATTCAGAAACGTGCTGCATTGAAAGACACTCACTTGTTAAACCCCTGTCCTTCCCACAATGTCACTTACAGGGCAATGCTGCAGGTTATATGTGAAGCTCCAGCTTCCAGTCCCTTTCATCAGTCCAAACTGGTTTTGCTCTGCTTAAGCTAAGTCTTGGTTGTTTGTTTTTATTCAATAATTGGAACTTAATGTTGAGTTGGAGCTCTAGTTGTGCTGTGGTCTGGGGAATTTGTTTCTTTTCATACTGCGATCTAGGCAGTGTGGCTTGGTGTAATTGAAGGACCCAGGTATGTCAAGGGGAGGAATTTGGAGGCTAAGTATGCATTTAATGCTTTTGCTGTGCCTGTCATATTGCTCGCTTTGTTGACAGATGAACTATGCATGCGCGCAATGAAATTCTTATGATACTGGAGATTAATTTGTGGCCTTGCTGGTCTGGTCTGTACTGTAAAATTTACCGTCTGTGAACATAAATTTTCCCCATTATGTTAGGTGGGTTGCCACTAAACATAGTTTAACCATAAAGATATTGAAATGGGCTGTGTTGCCATGATTAAACTTTTTTATGGGCTACTTAGTTTTTTAAAAAAGGAAAAGGAAGCACAGCTTTGAGATTCTAGTAGCACTAATATATGCATCAGTGTCACAAATTTTCAGGCACTTTTTGTCTTCTGATGCATGGGAGTATCTCTGTTACCTTTTTTACTGACAAACTTAGATGAAACATAGTGAAGGAGGAAGGATGGAAATAATGACTAAAGATGGGGTAACACCAACTTTTGTGCTATTTACTAAACAGAAGCCTCCTGATATACATGGAGGAGTTGTAAAAGAGATGGGAGAAAACAGTTCTTGCTTAACTGGAAGGATGGAAATCTTATCCAATAGCACTGGGAATGGCTTGCATTTCTTTTGTGGTGTATGTTATTATTTAACTCCATCTTGAGACTCAAAGGGTGTATTTGAAAGAAAAATGGGAGTAATTTAGTACAGCAGGAAAACGTTTCATGGAATAAATGGACAATCGCCCCTTGGTTATAGGAAAGAAACCAGGACAGTCTCTTTATAAATAAATGGCAGAGTTTTGTCCTGTTTTCCAAGTCTCCCCATTTAAACCGTCAGCGAGGATGTGCTAGTAATGAAGGCTGAGCACTAATAGCAATTTGTTGAATCACAGATAAAAAGTGAGTTTGTCGGCATTCATTACACGTCCCTAACACGAATGACCCATCCTTCTTTTATGCCCGATCAGAATAGAAATGGAGATTGGAGATATTCCAGGAATAATAGTAAGGGGCTGAAACCAGGTAATGAATCCCATGCTAGAGAAATGAAAGCGTCTGTGGTTGGGATGCGGTCCTCTGTCTGGAGGGGAATGGCGGGACCGTGGAAAGAAACCTCTCTGTCGTTCGGTGCCTAGGCAACCTCAGGGAAAAGGATTATCCGCATCTCTCCCTGCCATGCTCCGCATATTGCAGGGCAAAGATTACTTTTTGATTTTTGGATGAACCAGTATGAGGTATAATACATGCCGGTTGGCTTTTACTGATTATTCTCACTAGGAAAAATGATATTAAGGATTTATATTAATAAACATATATCCAGATGGAGGAGGTTATGTCTCCTGCTAAGGAATAAAAATTGCACAGGCCATTAAAACTGACTTACAAGGCTTCTGTGTTAATAATGAAAGATCTGTAGAAGTCTGAGCAGTCGTCTAGAAGGCCAGAAAAAGATCATTAAGATGTTTCCTGCCAATAGCTGCCAAGAGCAAACGAGGGAAAGAAAACAAAGTTTTAGATCTGGAAATGCATAGAAAATGAGAGAATACAGACTGTAGGGAATGTAGCCTGGCTGCTAGTGAGGAGGCAGCTTCATGGGGCCTTCATCACTTGTAACCAAGCTGGTATGAATGGGGAAGCAGGGCAGGTTTATTACTGGTGAGAGAAAGAAATGATTAACGGGAGTATCATTTTAGGATGAAAATTCAGCAGAAGTGAAAGTGTTGAGAAAGGGAAAAGTACACACCTGAAATTAATCAGAAATGCTAGTTCAGATTTAGAAAAAAATTACGAAATTAAAGCATTACTGGCAACTTGGGAATATTTGTTTTTTACCCAAAGATATTAATAAACCCAGAATGACTCTTTAAATTTGTTATTTCTTTCTTTGCTCTGAATGTACATTGAACTAAATGTAAAATATGAAATAGTAATAAGTAATATTAATAAAAAATATCAAGCATTGCAATGTCTGGAAATGCCAGAGATGTCTGCGCAACATT